ATGCTATGTAGACAACATGGTTGTCAAAACCCAATTTTCGAACTATTTAATAAGTGACTTGCAATGTGTTTTTGAAATTCCGCGCAAGTATAGTATGAAATTGAACCCTAACAAATGTGTCTTTGGTGTCACCTCGGGTAAATTTTTGGGTTACATAGTTAACCGACATGGCATCGAAGCAAACCCCGAAAATATAAAGGCTATCCTGGACATGAAGCCACCTCGCAAGATGAAAGAGGTTCAAAGGCTGAATGGCCGTATGGCTGCCCTAAGCCGCTTCATGTCCAAGTCAACAGATCGCTGCCTGCCTTTTTTCAAGGCAATTAAGAAAAGTAAAGACTTTGAATGGACTGAAGAGTGCCAGCTCGCCTTCGATGAGCTAAAGAAATACCTAGTTAGTATCCCAGTTCTGACCCAATCCGAGGAGGGTGATGTTTTAAAGTTGTACCTCTTCGCGAGCGATGAGGTGATTAGCTCGGTACTAATAAAATAAGTAGATCGGGTCCAACGACCTATCTATTATGTGAGTAAAGTTTTGCAGGACGTCAAAACCAGGTACCCAGAGATTGAGAAGTTGGCATACGCACTGGTCACAGTAGCTCAGAAGCTTCGCCCGTATTTCCAAGCTCACACAGTCGTGGTCCTCACGAAGAAACCTCTGAGGCAAGTCTTACTCAAGCCCAAGGTATCTAGCAAACTGACGAAGTGGGCCATCGAACTCAGCGAGTATGACCTCCGATATGAGCCTCGAATAGTGATTAAGGCCCAATCCTTAGCCGACTTTGTAGCAGAATGCACCTTCAGCACCGTAGCCCCCGAACTGATTGAGCTCGAGCACAAAGTGGAGGCTTCGACAAGTGCGGCACCAGCCCCAGTTAGAGCAAGGCCAACTTGGGACGAGGAGCCCTGGATCCTCCATGTAGACGGCTCATCCAATCAACAAGGAAGCGGAGCCGACGCTATTCTGCACAGGCCAAGCAGGGTGAAACTGGAGTACGCACTCCAGTTCGAGTTCGCGACATCCAATAACAAAGCAGAGTATGAAGCACTACTAGTCGGGCTCACACTGGCGAAAGAGGTACAAGCGAAACACATCGTCATCTGCAGTGATTCCCAGCTCGTGGTCAACCAGATCACCGGCAATTACGAAGCTCGTGACCCCACCATGGCTGCTTATTTAGCCAAGGTCAGGGAAGTTCTACGCAGCTTCCAATCATACTTCATCAGGCAGATTCCATGGTCCGAGAATGCTGAGGCCGATGCCCTGTCCCGGTTAGCTAGCACGAGTAGCAACACCATGAGGACTGTGTACATTGAGAACCTACCTCAGCCCAGCATTCTCGGGGGGGCAGAAGAGGTCGCTCCTGTTGCACAAACAGGGCCGAGCTGGATTGACCCATTCGCGAGCTACCTACTTCATGGAACCCGACTTGCAGACCGCAATGCGGCCAGAAGGGTAGAGCGACAGGCAGCCAAGTACGTCATGATAGATGGACGGCTGTACCGAAAATCCTACATGCTCCCCTACTTGCGCTGCTTGCGACCTTCAGAGGCTGAGCTTGTTCTTCACGACACTCATGAAGGCCTGTGTGGTGGACACCTAGGGGGCAGGGCTCTCGCCTTGAAACCGCTGCGACAAGGATATTACTGGCCCTTGATGAAGGCAGATGCACTCGAGCTCATCAAGAAATGCGATAAATGCTAGAGGCACGCCAACCTTCATCACCAACCTGCTGCCGACCTAAAGTACTTCACCAACCTGTGGCCCTTCGCACAGTGGGGAATCGACATTCTTGGACCGTTCTTGTCAGCGACGGGACAGAGGAAATTCTTAGTGGTAGCAGTGGATTACTTTACGAAGTGGGTAGAGGTAGAACCCCTAGCAACAATCACAGCTCGAACTGTACAAAACTTCTTTTAGAAGAGCATAGTATGCCGCTTCGGACTGCCTCGAGTGCTCATTTCTGACAATGGCAAGCAGTTCGAAGACATCAAGTTCCAGAACTGGTGTGCCAAGATAGGGATATAGCAGAACTTCACTTCGGTAGCACACCCTTAGGTGAACAGGCAGACGGAAGTCACGGACAGAGCCATACTCCGTGGACTGAAAGCTCGCTTAGCCTGAGCTAAGGGGCTATGGGTAGACGAGCTGCCCAGCGTACTATGGGCTTACCGAACCACCGTCAAGACCGCCACAGGTGAAACCTCCTTCAACCTCACCTATGGCACAGAAGCGGTAATCCCAGCTGAGATCGAGGTACCTATGTTATGCCTGGAAGCATACGATGACAAAGAAAACGGTGACGAACTCCATACCAACCTCGACCTGGTGGAAGAAGTACGGGACCTCGCATATATCTGGGCTGCAGCCTACCAGCAAAGAGTAGCTCGGTATTATAACACCCGGGTCAGAAAGCTGCAGTTCCGTGTCGGGGACCTGGTCCTTCGGAAAGTTATGGTACCTGAGACCAGTATAGGTAAGCTCGGACCGAACTGAGAAGGTCCCTACCGAGTAAAGCAAGTACTCGGGGAAGGTATGTATGAGCTCGACACCCCTACAAGACCAAAGGCCAAGCTAACAACTGACCTCGGCACCTGCATAAGACCCATTCGCCTCTTCGACATGGGAAAAATTCAGGAGTGGACTACGAGTCGCTCCTCGAAGCCTAAGGGCCACAACACTGCATAAGACCCATTCGCCTCTTCAACATGGGCAAAGCTCAGGAGTTGACTACGAGTCGCTCCTCGAAGCCTAAAGGCCACAATACTGCATAAGACCCAGTCGCCTCTTCGGCATGGGCAAAGTCCAGGAGAGTGGACTACAAGTCACTCCCCAAAGCCTAAGGGCCACAATACTGGACAAGACCCATTTGCCTCTTCGGCATGGGCAAAATTCAAGAGTGGACTACGAGTCGCTCCCCGAAGCCTAAGGGCCACAATATTGCACAAGACCCAGTTGCCTCTTCAACATGAACAAAGTTCAGGAGTGGACTACGAGTCGCTCCCTGAAACCTAAGGGCCACAATACTGCACAAGACCCAGTTGCCTCTTCGGCATGGGCAAAGTTTAGGAGTGGACTATGAGTCGCTCCCAAAGCCTAAAAGCTACAATACTACGCAAAGACCCAGTTGCCTCTTCGGCACGGGCAAAGTCCAGGAGTGGACTACAAGTCGCTCCTAGAGCCTAAAGGCTAAAATACCGAATTGACAGGAATTTCAGCACCACATGAAACCTGGTTGCCTCGCTGGCATAGACAGCTCGGGCATAAGCCCTATGATATCTAGCCCACTGCGGCACATAAGAGCAGGTCGGACCCATAAGGGACAACTGTCATCCAAATAAGTAGCCCGTGTGCTGGTAGTTCGGGGTAACAAACACTTGAAAGAATTTTACTTTGCTTGCCCCGCAATGTCTTTCACCTCGGTGTACGTTTCATGAAGTTACCCCTACTAAGCCTTCGCAGACAGTTCGGGGTAACAAACACTTGGAAAATTTTCTATTACGATTATCCTTACTTATTGTCTAGCTCGGTAGCTCGACAATTCGGGTAATCTGCACATTTGTTGCCTAGATCGGAAGCTATCTATACTTAGAATATCTTTTACACGAAGGATTACTCAAAATTCGGTATTTCATTCACAAAAGATGTAGGTACATAGATTTTGTTCTAACCCGAGCTCGGCGGCTCCGGGATGTACATCTGATACAAGAAAAGAAAGCTCAAAGATCATGGTTGTCAGCAGGATCGGTCTCCATATGATCTTCCGTGACCTCCTGGTTCGAAGGGCACTCCTCGACCTCGTCGTCACTCCCTTCCTCTGACAAGCTGGGCTCTGCGTTTTCTGCCTCAACATCCTCGGGAGTAAGTTTTGATGCAGATATGGCTCTGAGATCGAGGTCGATGAACTTCTTCCTCATCACGTACTTACACAATTTGAAGCCAGAGCGGTAGGAGATCGAACCATACTCAACTTGGAGATCGTGGAACTCCGAAGATTGCTTGAAGTGCTCCACGGCCTGGCTTCGTGCCTCTTCCACAACGGTCTCGAAAATCCGATTTCGCTCTTGCACCATCGCCTTGAGATCCTCAACTTCTTGTCGAAGCCTCGTTCTCTCCTCGATCAGCGCCGAGTTCTCCTCGGTCAACACAGAAATCTACTCCTACTGTTTCCCCTTCTCCTCGGTCAGCGCGGAGATCTGCTCCTACTGTTTCTCCTCCTCAGTTAAAGACAGAATAAGCTCCTTCTGATCTTGAGCTCCCTTCTTGGCCCGGAGCACCTCAACCAGAGCTTTATCAAGCTCACGATGCAGTTTTTGTGCCTCCTCCTTGGCTGTTTGAAACTGCCTCCAACGGATTTGCGACTGACACATCAGCACGTGAATGGAGGGGTTCACCTAGCAAGGAAAAAACTGAAGTAAGAACATTTTTTGAAAAGATCACAAAGAAACAAAAGTACAAGGTAAAAGCACTTACCACCATGCAGTAGCTAGCTGCCCAAGCCCCAAGCCGAGCCATAGGTATTTCGGCCCAATCCGCGACCTCTTCGGAGAAGATGGCCTTCTTACTCTTGTGAATCCCAACCTGGTTGGCCAGGATACTCCTCTTTAGAGGCACGTGTCGAGGTCTAGAAGAGCTTGCCGGCTCGGGAGGCCAAGCAACTTCTGACTCATGCGCTGGGGTGCTCTCTGATTCCTGCTACCGAGCACTTCCCTCTTCTTCCTCCAGATCTACCATGGGAGGGTGAGGGCGGACCTCTTCCTGGGGGAGCTTGGCCGAGATCGGCTCCGCGATGTGGACCTCGGGCGGTGCAGGGATTGAAGGGTTGACCTCCCGGCGAGGCTTCTTCGCCTTCCTCTTCTTTCCCTTCTGCATGCTGTTGAAAAGATTCTTGGCATTGACCTCCGGCATGGCAGCTGCAAGAACAAAAGGTTAGCCACAAACTAATTAGAACCTTAAAAAGAAAAACAAAGGCGACCTACCAGGACTCAAGCTAGCCTGCATGACCTTGTCTTCAGCAAGGTAGTCCTTATAATCGAAGCCGAGATCCGCCCAAGACTGGAGTGTCTCCCTTGTTTTCAGGTCCAGCCTAACACCGGAATCCTGAATGGCAGCCCTCCAATGGGTAGGAAAGGCCACCCCGCGGGATTACGGACTACAAAATAACTCTGTTTCCAGGCCGGGATCCTATTGGGTAGTTCGTGCAAAAGCTTATAGCCCGGGCGAGGAGACAGGTAGTAGGTTCGCCTGTGCTCAGGAAGGACACAAGAAGAGTTCTTCTTGAATGACAAGATGGAAGAAAAAATGTCGAGGTTAAGGGGTAGACAGTACTCGTAAAAAAGAGAGATGACCCCTACTACATTTCGGATGGAATTCGGGTGTAATTGGTCTATGGATATATTGAAAAACTTTAGGTCCTCTATGATCAAAGGGTGCAAAGGCAAACGAAGACCAGCCATGAGCTGCTCTTCAAAAATCATGATCTCATTGTGATCGTGTTCCCAAGAGAAGTTACCTACAGGGAGACTATAGGAGAGTTCGCCCGGGAGGTTGTACTGGTGTATCAAAGTCCGAAGCCTGTCCAAAGTCATTGTTGAGGGGCCGAAGTGGTCTAGCACCCGAACTGGATGAGAAGTGGAGGCCAGGTTACCCAAGGCCTCTCGCGCCTCCCGGGGTGACTGCACCTCGGGAGAGCCATGGACTAACCCTGGATCCGAAGTAGCCTCATCTCGGCTACCGACCTGGGCCGAGACACCCTCGGCCTTATCTAAAAGACTATCAAAACTAAAGGAAGACATTGACGAGCTGAACTAAAAAAGAAAAAGAAACTGAACCAAACTGAAAGGAAGAAGCTAAGGAAGACTCACCAAGGGAGGATGACCAAACTAGAAGAAAGTGGCGAACTTGAAAATCCGAGCTAAAGAAGCTAAGCGCGACCTCAGATCGAAGGCTGGTAAGCTTGTGGCGAAGAAAATGTCTCGGGTCCCCCCTATTTATAGCCACTGTACCGGAGAATCAACGGTAAAGATCAAAGCAATCTAACGGCTCATAAGAAAACCGATTGCACGACCCTCGAGGTCGAAAACAGTTTAGTGCGTTTTTTGGTGTCTGCGGAATTTATAGATCGCATAACGTCCACGCATAAACCGCAAGCGACCTGTTTGACAAAGCGGCCTGGACTTCGAGCCAAATCCACTTGTCACATCGTGAACTCCTCGAACCAGGTCAAGACCCCTAGCTCGAGGAATGGGGGGCAATTGATGAAGGGGAATTTGGCTCGACCTCATAACAGGGCGACACGTGGGCATGACTAGGCATAAGATACAACTCAACATGATCAGATCGGCACGTGGGTGTGACTCGACACAAGTGACAACTCAGCATGATCAGTTCGCTACAAAGCGACCTTGGGTACCCTGATACCCCAAACTGAAGATACCCCGAACTGAAGCTATCCCAAACTAAGATCACCTCGGTATCGGGCACGACCAGGGTAAACGAAAAGCAAGTCCACTACAAGACAAACCTGGGCACATGGACCACCTCAGAAAGAATCCACCTCAAGACAAGCCTATCTCGGCGCAAGATCATCAGTACTAAAGCACTTTGGAATTCAGAGCAAGTCGAGTCTGAAGGACATGAGATCAGACTGCTCTCCCCTGGGCAGCTCACCACCAAGTAGCCCGGCACTTCACAGGCAGCTTGCTACCGAGTCAGACCGACCCCTACGTGGAAACCCTAAGGAGCTCACCACCGTACTTTGCATTTTACGGGATTATGACTCGTAACGGCTATATTAGCTCACCCACTCCTCGGTTCAAATGGGAGCAGGCAACCTTACCGGTTGGTGGCGTTTTACCCACCTAACACGCAAACGGGTCCCACCACAGTGAGGATCCAGGAACTGCTCCAACAACCCACGGGGACTCCAGTATATAAAGACTTCACCCCTAGGGGCAAAGGTATGTTTTTAATGTATGTTTATGCATAATCTTTGCTTTCTAACTCATTGATATCATCTTCAAGCTCTCTACTACCGCTACTATGTGCTAACTTAGCCATCGGAGTGTCCCTGTCGGGTAAGCCACCCTGGGATCTCTGACTCCTCTCCTACAGGTTACTCAGTCCCCGTCATTGGCAGCCAGATCGTCTCCAATAGGGAGCAGCCGGATTATGCCACATCATCGTTCTAGCCATCGATTTTCGGGTTGACGGTTCGACCATCCGGTTCGAACGAATGACCCGTTATGACAACAAAATTAGAAAAATAAAGAACGACCAAAAACCATTGAACGGGTCAACGGGTTGACGGTTTGACCACTCGAGTCAATGGGTCGTTGACCGATTCAACGGTTTTTGGCCAAGGATTGGGATTGGGGTAAAATGGAACTGGTTGCTTAGATGGTTCCCAATTAAATAAATAAAAAAACGGATGACCAGTTCTGAAAACAAAAATTATAGGCAAAAAATTGAGTGTGTGAGGTCCATTAAGTAGTACCATACGTGTTGTCATTCGAGTGTGTGACTCATATGACCTAAAAACAGAATCGTTCTAGCCACCGGTTTTCGGGTCATTGGTTCGAACAAATAGCCTGTTCTAACAACAAAAATTAAAAAAAGTAAAAAAAATGACCAAAAACCATTGAACGGGTCAATGGTTCGACCACCCGGGTCAATGGGTTGTTGATCGATTCAACGATTTTTGGCCAAGGACTGAGATTAGAATAAAATGAAATCGGTTGCCTGAATGATTCCCAATTAAAAAATGGTCAAAAACCATTTTACAGGTCAACGGGTCAATGGTTTGACCACTCGAGTCAATGGGTCATTGATCGATTCAACAATTTTTGGGCAATGACCAGATCAACAGATCGACGGTTCCATTCCAGCCTTTGCGAAGCAGGGTCCCTCCGCTAGTAAAAAATTATTGCAAATAATTTACTTATTGCTAATAAACTATTTAATTGTAACTAAAATAAATTGATTATTGCCAATAATACTTAATTGTTGATTATTGGCCAATTTTTACTAATGACCTAATTAATTGTTATGAATATTTATGCAATTCTAACTAATTCACACCTACTCATTACCAATAGCTTAATTGACTACGGAACTATTACCAATAGCAAATTGGCTATTGCCAATAATTAATCTTTGTTAAATCGTATAACATATTTTACACATAAATGTGATTTATCCATTCATTCATTCATTCATTTATTCATTTCGTCATTCAACACACAACATTATAATCCACTGCATTTATACATATGTTTACTGATGTCCAAAACATTATATTTATGTTCATATCATTAGATTTAAGATACAAAAAGGTTCATGTAAAAAGTTCTTCCGATTATGTCTGATGTCTAAGTATTAGATCATGAGAAGCATTGACACCCTCATTACCATTGCCTTGCAAAAAGTTACATATAGATAATTTTATCAAGTATGATCTTAAGAAATATAATTCAAACTTTAAGTAAATTTATATATGAAAATATTACCCATTATATTGAGCTTGATCCATGTAAAATATGTGACAAGTTAATGGATCCATTTTGAGATAGGGTAATCATCAATAAAGTTATGGGCAACTGCATTTTTTGGTTAGATTAACAAGTCAACTGCATTTACAACAATTTCACTTAGCTTTTCCATGCATGTTTCTGTTATAATGACATGAAAATGTTTGATTTGTCAGGAAGCTAAAAGAAATATTTTAAAAATATTTATTTGTTGTACCAAAACAGTGCGATCCCGATGATAAAACTCGAAAAACCACTGTTCATTGCCTTCGTTGCATCCTTCCCAAACGACTCCGAATCTACCCACGAAGCTGCATGCAATCTTTCGCAGCTTTCCTCATTCTTGGCCTGCATTTCTCTCCTTTACTTCCAGAACCCAAATTCCTCGCCACAGTGTCCAAATCAAAGCTCTCGATGCTGCTCAATCCTATGATTACGAGGCAAAGATAAATGGCCGCTTAGAGAAGAGCACGAAGCTGAAGATCGCCATTATTGGGTTCAGAAATTTTGGCCAATTCTTGGCTAAGACCTTGGTTCAACAAGGCCACACTATTTTAGCACATTCTCGATCGAACTATTCGGCCATGGCTCGAGAATTAGGGGTTTCGTTCTTTTCTGATCCTGATGATATCTGTGAAGAGCACCCAGAGGTAATCCTTCTGTGTACTTCAATTGCTTCCACCAAGTCCGTTCTCAGGTCGTTTCCGTGTCAAAGGTTGAAAAGGAACACCTTGTTTGTGGACGTTCTTTCGGTGAAAGAGTTCCCCAAAAAATTGTTCCTTCAGGTTCTGCCGCCGGAGTTTGATATTCTCTGCACTAAAGAAGCAGCTTTTCGGTCATCTACATAATGAAGGAGCGAATTAGTGCAGCGGCAGAGGAGGTGGCAAGAGAACCAGGCAGCGGCAAGAGAACCAGGCAGCGGCGATCTGCTATCATCGATCTACTACCTTTCCTGTTCTCTGTCTCTCCCTCCATCTTCCTCTTCTCTCTTTTCTCTTCTCCCTTACCTTATTTTCTTCTTCCTATTCTTCCCTTCTTCCTCCCTCACCTTCTTCTTCAGGCGAAGAACCAGGTCGTGGCAGTGCTTTTTCTATTATTTTCTCATATATAAAACCAAACTGCAAAATTAAATTTTTACATTTCCTATCCCATCCAATCCCATCCCATCTTTTTCCAGGACAACATTGGATATGAAATGTATACTAAAACTTTAAGTATCCAACAAATATTTGGGTATTATAGTCTGCTACTTGAAATAAATTGAAACCTCCCAACATTGTGTCCAGCTCACTATACCTAGAAGAAAAAGACAGGTTACAAGTTTTTTTTTTCTATAAATACACTAATTTTTAATTATGGACCAGTAACTTCTTGAATATATGGAAGTTATCAAATATAGAGCTCCATCCTGAAAAAGTCTTTGAAGGAGTTGACTGGATATGGACTTAATAACCTTTGGTATTTTCTTTTATGGAAAAGTAGTAGAATCAAATCAACATTCTCATGCTTGCCACCCTAATAATCTGTCATCTAGCTAAGTTGGAAAAAGAATATTGGTCCAACCTTCTCTTGCTAGACATGCTAACAGTGAAAGCATATATCTAGTTTTCTTGTCAGTGACCCCCATTGCCTTTACACTAGTTGTGATAAGGTAAGGGTGTCAATAGACCAGTTTTGGATTGGACCCCGTACGCGTCTAGTCCAAAATTAATTTGAAAGGATAGGACGAACCAATAAGACATATTAGATTGGACCAATCCGGTACAAAATATTTATTAGATTGGATTGGACCTAGTCCATTCTTAACAAATTTATATTGAATTAGGTTGGGTTAAGTCAGTATCTGATCCATTAATATAAGATAAGAATATATGTGTCAATGGGTCAGGTTTGGGTTGAAACCAATCTAAATCAAAATGAATTTAAACAGATTGGACGGTCCAGACATTGAATTGTACCAGTCCAAATTGATCCAAAACATTCATTGGATTGGATTGGACCTGGTCTATTTATAATGGACATATATTGGACTGGATCAGATTGGATCAAATCCAGTCCAATTGGCACCCCTACTAATAGGACCAACTTCATCATGCTCAATTGGACTATAGGCCCATGATAGATCAATGCACAAATTGGAGATGTAGAAACTATGGCCTAAGATTCAAAAATCAAGAATCTAATGCCTATTCTCTACACCTACAAATACAATAAAAAACTGGACCATGTTACATTCTAAAATCCTCACTAATTAGGCCGACAAAATGTCAAAATTAAAGAACACCCATAAGAAGCTTAAATCATGCCAAAACACCCTTTTTTTTTTTATTAAAAACACAATAGACAATATTTACCTTTATAAGGTGAAACAGAAGAAGCCCAAAAAAAGTATCTTTAGTTCCTAATCTATTGCTTTGTGGCCACAAAATTTCATCTACTAAGTAGCATTTGTATGATTTTTGTCTATTAAGTCTCTTTGGTTTGATATTTAGACAAATACATCTGATTCAAGAGATTATTTTATTTTATTTTTTTTGAGGGTATTGTATCATTTCAAAGAAAGTAATGGTAAGCTTTACACCAATTCCTTGTATATCTCTAAAACTTTTGCAAGTAAATAGCAAACAACATTAACAATAATTAAAGTAAATTGAATAAGACACAGGATTAGAGAATTTGAGTGTCCCAAGAGATTGTTGTAGGCTACTGATTACTAATTGTTAATGGTCTGTATGGAAAAAGGACATTAGTCACTATCAGAGATGCAAGTCAAAGTGAGAACAACATCAGCATATTCAATAACTCGAGATTTTATGTTCCTGTGTGGATTAGGGGTGGGGTGTGGAGGTACAAAACTCTTAATTAAACAATATGAGAAATCTTTCAATGATAATAAGAACTGGATGTGTTTCAAATCAATACAATCCCAAGCTAAAATTAATCAGTTGGACATCAAAGACAAGGCCAAAAATTCCCCCAACTATAACCTCATATTTAAAGATTAAAATCCCTTAAACCATATCTTGTGACTTTAACCCTTAGAGGCGGCTGTTGGAAGTTGTCCATAACCACTAGGTTCCTGTAGAGGCTAATGAAAAATGCCTTGGATTTGGACTTTGTTCCTAAAACAAAAACGTCAATAGTAATTGAAGGATTGTTATTAATATTGTTCTAACATGCTATACAACCAAATAGAATGTTCTATATATACCAATTGATAGAGTTCAGATTTGCGCCCCACAACGTCCCACAGAGCATCTGTATCTTGTGTATTAAGAACATTTCCCGATGATAATATCAGAAATAATGATATCATCATCAGGAGATATTTTCAATACACAGCGGGAATGTATTTGTAGGACATTGTGGGGCGCTCCCTTGTGGGACACAGATGTGAATTCCAATCGATACACCCCAATGAGTTGCAATATTTTGATCCTTGAATAAAAGTAACAAATGCCTCTTAATTTGCAGTTTCAATAAAGGAACACCCAACAGAATTAGAATCATAGGTCTTAACAAGAGGGTGATCACAACCTTGTCATAGCTGCAAGAGCATTAATAAAATACTAATATAATTCTGTTGGATGGTCCCTGCAGCTTCATAAACCTGAGACAGCATCCACACTAAAGCCAATTAATATACAAATTTTAGGAAGATTCAGAACCACAACTACCAGAGGTAGTAAGTGAAACTAATATCATTGTACAAACTTGATTAAATGAAAAAATCACCTTGAACTATGTGGGTAATATATAATTATTGTAATGCTTCTAATATATGCTTGGTAAACTTGGTTGTATTAAGTACACATAGTAGCCATGAGTTAAAATAGAGCAAAATTACTTGTCTATGTATATTAATTTAAATGTTTAATATATATATTCTTAATTTCTTTGACAAACTTCTAAAAATAATTGTTGGTCTTATCTCTTCTGAATTACAATTTGTGATACAATTATATTCTATTCAGCCTAAGGATTTACATTACAAATTTCAGAACATTTGGAGGTCTCCTCTTTTGGCAGCCAGTAAACCCAAAATTCAGCCAGTAAATGTGGTGCTTTTGAAAGGGAAACTGTAAAAGTGATCTGGTGCCTGCACCTAAGGGAATGGATATAGGATTTCCTTTTAATGAGTATTAAAATAACTATTATTAATGCATGCAAGTGTTATGTTAGATGTGCAAAAGGGATATAAAGAGAAAAAATGGAACTGCCTAGGAACAAAATCTCTACACCTCAACCTTTGAACTCATTTAGGACAATATCCTAATCCATTAAGAAGCAGAAAACATCACACAGATGCACAGTAAAGGCCTAAGGAACCATACATTGACCTAAACATAGCACCCATAGGACCTGTTCCATATCCAGGAGGAGTAACTCCAAGATATTTGAATTAGAAACTAATGCTGGAAAGAACTGTCATGAAAATTAAGTAGTTGGGAAAAACATAACTGTTTCAGGTGTTATTACAGGCTGCAGCCATTCATAGATGTGGGGATAAGTTGTGGTTCAATTTGTTGTCCACATGGCATGTTTAGTCACAATCATGTCAAACTATAAATTCAAGATAACAACCTAGTGGCACCACTGATGCAATGGCTGATGATGAAGTTGATAAAACTATTCCATTTCTTAGTACTTATTTATTTTGTGGACCACCACAAGGAAAAGGAGTATTATATATCCTTGTATGCAGCACTCAAGATGATCAAAAAGACAGTAGAGGATCTCTAGAAACATAAGCAAGCTTTGATATTAACCCCTTATTTGGATATTATGTGGTTCTCCAAAAACACCAATGGTAATGACAAGTAGAACAGGCTATTCTCATAGCATAAAAATGCCAAATAATTGCAAAATTGATAGTAGAAAAGGGAGTCTGCTTCTTCTTTTCCGTTCAAAAGAGGGAAGGGAGGAACTTAGGAACTTCGTTTTCTTCTTCGGCTTTGAGAATTCTTCCAACGGTCGAAACTTTGGGAGAAGGGAGCCTCCTCTGAGAAATCCTCCAATGTTCGTAATGGGGAAGAAGACGATTGGGAGCGAACAGAGAAGTCGTCGTTTTCGAACAGAGTTTGTTTTCTTCTCCTTTCTGCGTCTAGGGGTATAACAGTAAAAATTTACAACCTTTTCGCTGACATGGGTGGGAGGAGTAGAAAAAAAAAAATTCATATTTGTTGGTTGGAGGCGATGAGAGTTTTGGTTTCCATACTAGCCTATTTGATATTTCAATTTCTGAGGGGGAGCTAACCGAAGAAACCCCTTTGATCAATAACTTTGGGAGGTCCCCATAAACAATTTTCTTCCAAAAACCTTCATGCCCCATTCCAATCCAAACGCAGCTAGGGTTGATTGACTTTCAACACCCTCTCGAACACTTGTGCTATGGAATGCACAAACTGATCATTATAGAGATTCACTCGGAGTTGTGGAAGAGAGATCCATAGTGGAATGACTAAGGGTTCCTAGCCCAGCTCCATAGTGTCCATTTGAGAAACTGATAGAGAAAGTCTTTGATAAAAACAACTCCTTTCATTCAAACCCGAAGAAATTCACCTTCGTCTTCAAATCTAATCAAGACAAGACGAGAACCCAAGTTTGTGATAACTATCACCGATTTGAGAAGAATGGTTCCAATTAAGAATTCCCTTATTTTGGAGAAAGAAGGTATAGGCGGGGTGTGAGGCTGGGGTGAGGAATGGTCTCTTTGAAAGACAAAGGAAGGCCCCTAATAAAGGAAGAATGAGGTTCTTAGGTCAGGGTTGTACGATCAGAGAGTTAGAGCGTACTCGGGAGTACTGGATGGTAAATGCTTAGGATCAGATGAGTCCTAATCTGAGGA